GCGCGCGCGCACACACACACACACAGGAAAAGGCGAGTGCTGGCGGCGGCTGATATCAAACAGGAAGTGGCAGCAGCTGCTGCGAACACCGCCTCACTGAGAGAGAAACTGAGTCATGCTGGAACAGAAGGACTGGTTCCGATGGGCGTAGCAGCTTGTGGACCAGTGCGGTTCAACACGGAGGACCTCTGGCGGTGGACGTGAGTCAGCAGGAAACGCTGGCGACCCCGGTCAGACCGGCAAATGGTAAAAATCAGCAGGATGACCCTGTGACCTCCACCACCTCCACCCGTTTCATTTAAACCAGGATCCACACTTGAGAAAAAAATCTCACTGATGACCGACTGTAGAGACGACACAGACCACCATAATGGTGACCTCGCAGGTGTGTCAGCCAATGAGCAATGGCCTCAACGCAGGTTTACCCGCATTTCCAGCACAGCCAGCTGGGCCCCAATAAATCCTGACTCACGGTCAAAGAGCAGATTATTGTACGATTGTGCGTCCGCCTGAGCCCGCCTTTGTCACAGACTTTACTGGGCGGGGGTGTGTCAATGGACAGATGGCAGTCAAAGCGATTCTTACCCAGCGTCCCCCGGTGCATTAAAGTAACGCTGTCCCTGTGCTGACAGTCATAATGCATTAAATCAGGTTTCACATCGCACAAACACCCTTTAGTGTGTGTGTGTGTCTGTGCAGCTACACTGACCCGAGTGTGCAGGATTCAGCCTCGGAATTACAGCCCAGCATTTCAAAATAATAGACAACATCTGCAATTATAGAGGCACAAAAACACCACACAATGTTCTCTCAATGCTCGCCGGCATCATTGATGTCGTTACTGAAGGACGTCCTTCCACACTTCCTGGTTACAGCAGCGCTGACACAGCGTTACAGCCGGACCGTCGGCACAGGCCGCATGCAAGCACCTGGGCAGCGCCTTCAAAGGAACATTTAATCACAGTATAAAATGACCTTCTCGTGTTTACGTGAATGCCATAGCAACAACATCACCGTTCATGTGACATACAAAAATGGTCCTGCTAGTGTCACAGGTGGGGGTGGGGCTACAGTATTAATCTATGACTGACAAACCCCCCACTCTAATTTGGAAAGTTGAGTCGCTGCTATAGGGGCGTTCCCAGTTTACATCACTGCAGCGGGAGTAACAAATAAAATCAAAGTTTCCTCCACCTCCACGTTTGCTTACACCACCTGACCCAAAATGGTCAAAACATTAAGGACCCCCAAAGGATTTTACTGACCTAACACAGCAGGGACCAGACATCAGACCCTGGAATATTTCAGGTAACTCTGACAGGGTCAGGTGGGAAGCATCAGGTGACGCTGCCTCAAAGGGTTTCTCGACAGTGTCATCACTGTGGGTCTGTTCCCGCACACCCCTCCGTGATCCCCTGAAGAAGAGTCATTTCCTAATCCTTCATGCTTCCGGCTGCGGTCTCACTTCCTCACTGCCCTCACAGAGAAACCGTGTGTGTGTGTGCGCGTTATCAGCTTCATCATCTGATGTGGCAGCGGTCTGACGAGTCTGCAGACGCTGAGCCGTGTCCTGCATGTGAACCACACCTTCCTTAAACTTCTGCTGATAACACAACACAACAGCTGCTGCCTCGCCCTGTGAGCCAGCAGCGACCGAGCCTCGTTACTGAAGGCCGACCCAAAGCAGTCAGCAAACCTCTTCCTGCTTCATCGGGTAGTTACTGCGGGGTCACTTCACAGACTCGGACGTCCCTCTTTATCCGCCCTGCTGCGCACAGACGAGAGGCAGCAGTAACCTCTGCTCTGAAAACGTCCATTAGAGCTGCAGAGCAGCGCGGGGAGTTCACAGAGAGAGGGCCTGCAGGAGCCGACCGAGGCGTCATCAGGTCGCCTCGGATCCTATTGGCTCAAGCATTGACGCAAGACACGTCTGTCCCGTTTATTCCTCACGTTCTGGGGTTGTCTTACTGAAAACAGGCGTCTTCACCTGAACTGATGTTGAACGTTTAACAAATCTGGGTTTTTTGAGCTCGAGTGAATTTAATCCCACTGACAGAAAGGTGCACGTGCTGGCTTTATTAAAAGCAGATGATCAATAGGAAGTCATTTCCTTTTTGTCCTGAAACCTGAATTCACGCCTCACCTTAAAATAAAGACAAAGCTCCCTTCACAGTCTGACTAAATGCTGCTTTTAAGGCTGACCTATTCTGCACTTTTTCTACTCTTCCAGCTGTATGATGTCATCACGACAAACAAAAGCTCCACCCACCTGCTGTTTAAAACTTCCCTTTGTAAGGCTTATTCTGATTTGTGAATCATGCTAAGCCGCCCTGGCAGTGTGAGAGAACACAGCCTGATTCAGCTGTAAACACAGCGTCAACACAACATGAAGCTGTCAGTCTGAAAAGTCAGTGATGACACAGCAGCAACTAGCATGCTAACAGCCAGTTAGCGGTGTCCACCTGACAGGAGGGGTCGGTGACTCACTCAGGTGAGGCTCCAGGTAAATACAGGAGCCTCTGCTGCTGCGTTTGTGGCAGCCAGCCAATCCTACCTGGAGTCTGAGCTGGTTAAACACGTCGGCAGTGTCCGTGTCCGTAAACACGGAGCTCCGTTTTTAATATGATTCAAGTTCCACTCAGCGGCTAACCCACAAACCCGAGCTCAGAGCCCGGGAACCGGGCCTGTGGCCAATGTTCGGTGATCTCCCAGCTTCGTACAATCAAACCGGGCTCACACAGTGGGCTGTCGGCCGTTTATGACCAATTAAAGTGGCTAAAGTATCCGCTGAGAGCCGCTCTGCGCACTCTCACACTCGGCTAGGCTAGGCTAGCTCCGTGCTAGGCTAACACTCAGCGTTACCTTGGCTGGCGGGGTCCATGGCGTCGCTCTCTCGCGGATTAAACTCCTCTTTCGAAGATTTAAAGTTTCAGGTGGAGCGCAGCGGACAGCAGAGCGGCACACTGAGCACAAACCGTCCACACTACAGCTTCGCTGACAGAAAGTCGTCGACAAGAACACACGGGGAGCAGCAGTCGTTTATCCCACGGTCCGTGAAATTAACGCCAAACAACAGAGGCACATCCGGCGGGGAATTTCAAAATATTACGTTAGTGCCTGGAGGCGATGACTGGGAAATATTTATTGATGACTCACTCCTCTATTATTTTATTAAGAAATAGTGGATTACTTGCCTCGGAAATTAAAAAAAATCCATTATCGATATATTCATCAGTGTCTGAGTCTTCACGTTTTTTTAACAGTCCGAGTACAATTCTGAAGAACAGATTACACGTTACATTTCCAAACTGGCAGAAACACAGTGAACCAATCACACTGAGGTGTGTCATCACTCTGGTTAAAGGTGTTTTTTGGAACAACCCACTGTAAACTTTGACCTGCAGGGGGCGACACGGCATCAGCGGGTTTTTTATTTTATTCGTTTATTTTAGCCGCGTTTCCTCCGGATGCTGCCTTTTGATTCCTTTTACCTGCTAAATAAAGGTCACCCTGACTCACTGCTCCGTCCTGTGGTACAAACATGAAGGTACAGCCCAGGCCTGTTCTAACTCCGGCTTGCATCTCTACATCACAGTGCACAGATGTTCTCGACGTGAAGAGTAAGCAGATGTTTCTTCTCGGTTTGTTACTCAGCTGTTCTGAGATTATCTATGACACACACACAGGTACAGTGCTTATCAGATTCACTGCACACCTGTCATAAAACAAGAAAAGACAAACATTCATTTGAATTTCATATATATTTAATATAGTGAGTCGTGCCTCTTTAAACAGGAGCGATGAATTTCAAACTGAACTACTGACTTTAGTCACAAACATGAGCGAGCACGTCTGAGAGCAGTCACTACATTCAACCTCTCAAATGCATATTTGTGTAAATAAATGTAATTTAGCACCTTAATCAAAAATAATATTGATGAACTTTAATATTTTTCAGAGCTTGTGCGTGCTCGTGGGTTACCTGTTACAGAAACAACAAATCACAACAACAGATGCCTCAGGTGCTTTTATATTGTAAGACCTGCTATAACACACAGAAAACAATGTTTTAATAATTAGCATTACTGTTAGCTGTGGCAGAAACCCGGCTGTGAGTGGGCCTCTGCGTGGACTCCAGGAGCACGGGTGACAGATTTACTTTAGACCAACGTGTTTTTAAATCATGACGACACATTTTACAGCAGCAGAAACACAAAAACGTCACACTGACGTGTTTGTGTGTAAACCTAAAAACACACCGTCAGAGAGTGTGACAGGTCTGCTGAGCTCTGATTGGCGCTTTAAGGCAGGTGTGCTTTTATTTTTAAAGGGCAGTCATCCAAACAGGAAGTGGTTTCTCCTCAGCACAGCTGCAAAATGCTGCTGAAATACTTTGGTTTGACACTTTGTGTTTATCTGTGAATGGAAATGCAGAACAGCTCTTCGCAGCACGCACAGCGTCTCCAGCCTCAGAAATCTGACCGATGTGATTTTTAAACCTGCGAGACGCCCTCATGACACACGCGCAAACACCACGTCCGTGGATTTCAGTGATTCTTGAGATAAGGGACAAAACACGTCCGCCGATAAAACCCGATTTTGGGGTTAAAAATATGCACACAAGTGTTAACCCAGCTGACTAAGAGACAAACCAAGGCGATGTTTACACAACAAAAGTATGATTTTGTGTTTTGTTATGCATATATATTTACTTTAAATGGTACAATACATTACCAGTACCCTAGAAATCCACTGTCCACAAGCAGGTGTGATGATATTAAAACAGAGAGAAAAATTAAACATCAAGTCACTAAGTATTTAAGTCAATACCTTATTTAATATCAAAACGTACACCTGAAATTTATTTTTGCATATTTTAAGTGATTAAAATCGTGTCCAGAGTTTTTGTCAACACCATCAGATTTTTAAAAAGTACAAAAGAATCAGGAATGATTGTGGGCAGCTTACACTCTGAGGACCCCTTTACCACTTCCTGTTCGATGCACATGCCATGGTGAGTTTTTTTGTTTTAATTACATTTATGGCACAACTTTGTGATAAAACTGCGTCACAGCCACTAAAGTCGATGATTTACTCTCATTGAGTAACGGAATATGTTACAAAATACATTTTGGGACATGTAATCTGTAATCTGTAGTGGAATACATTTGAAAAGTAACCTTCCTAACGCTTCCACCGTCAACACCTTATCAACTCCAAAATTCTGGGTTTTTGTTTATTTTTCCCTTTTGAAGAACCATATGTTTTGCTCCCTCATGATATTCCAATAAAAAAAGTTACTTTTCTCAATAAATGTGTAATTTTCATGCTGCTAAATATGATTGTTTCTTATAGAGATTAAATACAAGCTTCTGAAAATATGTACGACTGTAACTCTAATAACAAAAAGCCAAACAATCTTACTTTTAAATGTGGTATAATTAGTTTGAAAGCATAAACAGTAGAACAGAGAAGCTGCTAAAAGTCAAACTAGCTGAAACACTTTATTTAAAATATATATTTTGCATTTCTTTGTGTCTGATGGTGTTGACAAAAACGTTGCACTTCTCCAGCAAAAACATAAATTATTAAAAAATGTTACACCTGGGAGACCAAAACATGGTGAGACAGCCAAAACTTTGTGTAACAATTATATGTAAATATGATTTTGAAAAATCAAAAATATTTTTTAGAAAATTAAAACCTGTTTTGTCCCTAATCTCAGGCATCACTGACAAAACACACAGAAACTCAAAGTGTCCAAAGACTGAATGAGTCAGTCATGAAACAAAATCAGCATCAGAAAAATTCTTATTTAAAAATCAACAATGAATATGTGAGAAGCATCATCATCATCATCATCACGACACACGCACATAAATGTATCACGCCTCCTCGGCCTGTGAACCTCGTTATTTCTCTGCTTTCACTTCCTGTCAGGTCAGCGATCGTCTGTCACACTTTCTACAAAAACGAGCCCAAAAATGTAATTTCTCAGGCACAATTTCAAAATAAGAGCCCAAACAACCAAACATCTCTCAGAGGAATCCCCCCCAACCATCCACCCACCGCCTAACTCTTGTTGTGGGTGGGGCTCAGCCAGGAGAAAAACTGGGCAGATGAGGAGGAAGTGGAGGAGGTGGAGGCAGCGATGCGGGGGCCGTGGGTCTCCCTCCTGGAGGGACAGCAGGTGGAGGTGAGCGTGAGCAGTACGAGTCTCCTGAATCCTGCAGATTAAGATTTCAGATTAAAAAGTGGTTCAAACGGATTTGGCTCTCTAACACGCAGAGACGACCAAGACGTCACCTGGAAGCTCACCTGGTGTCTCATACCTGAGATAAACTTCCTGTTTGCTCCAAACTATTTTAAATCCTGTCCTGATGTTCAAAATGGTGACCTTTGACCTTTCTATTTCCAAACTGACTTCCTGCTGGATTTGGTTGGTCTTTATTTCCTCTCGCTCTGATGTCACGATTACAGAATGTTGCATTATTGTATTTTAATCTGCATGAATGAACTTTTACATAATTATAAACAGCTTTTCTTTATATTAAATCAAGTGTCCGCAGAGCTTAAAGCAAACTGGCCCAAAGACATGTTTCAGATGATTATTATGAATTCAATTTTAGAGCAACGTTAATGACAGACGTGTGGTGGGAGAGAAATTTACATATTTAATAAATGTAAATGTTTATCACGAAGAATAAAATTATGCTTTAATAAAGCCTGAATAAAACAGTGATAATGCTTCCATATTTATACTACAGAGAATTAAAACTGTCATTACACAGACCGACCACAGGGTGTCAGCAGAGCTGAGTCTCCGCTCCTTGTCTGCACTGTAAGTTTGTCCAGTCGCTTAAAATGTTTGATTTCTTTGGCCTTTTTCCCACCACGCTCCTGTGCTCCACTCAGTACCACACAGTAAGAGTATTAATAGTATAAGTACTGCGGTAACAGTGATAGTAGTATGGGGGTAAAAAAAAAAGTAAAATAAAAAAGAATAAAGTTCAAATAATTTTATTGTTATAGATTTTTTTAGACAATCAGTGCTCGCTTTAAAAACAAATTCGACTGACTGTAACCTGATTTCATTTATTTGTAGTCGCTGTGAGTTTAAAGTGTTTTCTGTAAGAAGCAGAATTATTATGTTTATAATCAGTGATCGTCTAAAAGTAAAGATTAATTCATCTTTAATGTAGTCTGACCAAAAGGATCCTAGAAAAGCTGTTTTTATCCTTTTAAAATAAAAGTATTCTGAGTCACATGCTTTTCACAATAAAAGCATGCCGCAGGTGAGCATACCTGAGCTGTGCGGCAGTGATGTTCGTGCGGCTCCGTGTGGCGTTTATGTGCAAATAAAGCAGCCGACGTAAGCCCACGCCCTCTGCAGGATGACCAGGAGGGCGAGCAGGTAGAAGAACAGTGTGACAGCCTGCAGGTGGAGAGGAGGGTGGAGGAGGGATGAGGAAGAGGATGGAGGTGAGATGCGGTGGATTATTTGCTAACTCTAACGAGCCGGCTGAGCGGCTCAGGTGGGACGTCTCCACCTGTTCATTCAGGTGTAGCTGTGCTTCCCTCCTGCTCCCGTACATGGAGGGTTAAAGCTCTGATTATTCCTTTTTCCATATTTAAACTGATGTCTGAGCCTGCAGGCTGCGCCGGCGGCAGGCGCCGGCATCACGCTCGGCTCGCAGAAACAAAACGAATAAAAAGAGAAGAAGAAGCAGCTGTGGAGGTGGAGCCATATCTGTGGGTGGGAGCAATGTGTAGAGCCTGGTCCATGATGATGACGACGGATGACACTGACCTGAGAACGGGCGTCTTCAGCACCTCTCGTCTCCACGGTGACGTCAGAGCCTTTGGGTTTCTTCTCGTCGTCCTCTCTTCCTTTCGACGCTCCAAACTCGCCGTCTCTGCTCTCCGTGTGACGCTTCTCCTTCCTCACAGCTTCCTCCTCCTCGCTCCTCCCCAGCCTCACCCTGAGCTCACTGCGCCGGCACCAGTGACGAGCATCCTTTGCTTCCCTTTCCTTCGGCCTCGTTCAGCTGCTCCTCAGCGGCCTCGGACAGGTACGCCCAGCCCTGCACCTCCTCCTCCTCTTCGCTCTGAGGTTCTTCTGCTGGATTTTTTGAGCAGATATGAGAGCAGATGGGGACTCATGGAGGACACATAGGCAGCCTTGTGGGAGGAGATTGGATTTGACCCCAGCAGCGTGAGGTGAACCCGTCCTCGCTGATGCATCGATGGACCTCCGGCAGGGTTTGTCCAGGAGCTGATGGGCTCAAGCCAGCTGTGCACCAGCCAGGGTAAAAGTCAGCATCCTCCTCCTCCTCTTCATCCATCCCCTCACACTGACAGGTGAAGACAGTTACAGCCACATGTTTAACCACTCGCTGTGTTTATCCCTCCGTGATGGTTTTGGAAACCTGCAAATGTTCTCTTAGTAAAACATGCATTACCTGCAAACCCTGTATACAAAAGATGGACACAGACTCAAGCCCATTGGTCAATGAGGTCCAGCTGTTCACGGTTTGTAGCATTTTGAAGCCTCATTGGTAACGTTTCAATTGCCACCATGTTGGTTTTGTTTCAGGAAGTGACCATATTTGGACAACCTTCATGTCTCACAGCCGACCCTCAGCTCTGTTGGCAGCTCTGAGGCTACTGATGGACTCTTTCATTAGATTATATGTTAGAGAAATTCTGAGTAGTTTACAATCAAATGTAAAGGTGAGCGTCTTTAAAGCAGGTGTGATACTCTACCTGCTGTGTGCTCATTCCCTCCTGCCGTTCGCCGCCCTCTTTAGCTAGCTCGGCGGCGGCTTCCTCCTCTCCCTCCGTGATATGACCCGAGTCCAGCTCAGGAGTCTCCTGCTCTGAAACCTCCTCTGCGGCCTGCTGGTTGCCGTTTGGTTCTGTGTTCTGGATCAAAGAATCTTTGGGTTCTTTTGGCTCTGGTTCTTCAGGAACATCCTTCACGACTGGAGAGATATCACAAAACCATGATGCTGAGGGAGGAGGAGGAGCCAACATCACAAAGGAAATAATGAGACGAACTGATGTAAATGCAACACGAATAATGCAGTGATGTAAACATGTTTATTTATTCATAATGTATTTGCTGCTTCATTCTTTTAGTCCACGACTTTTCATTCAATTCATTTTTGTTTTCTCTCCTGCATCGCTCCATTTTCTGTATTTTAGAAGATTTCAGAAAATCTGAGCATGAACAGAAATGAACAAAGACTTAAAAATGGGCGGGGTTTTATAGAAGTGACCTTTAACGTGCACGCCCACGTCTAACGGCTGAGAGCTGGACCAATGAATACTGCTCACACTAGTTCGTCTGCAGCTGCAGTCCTTCATACTCGTCGTCATTATTGTTTGAATTCTTGACGTGGCTCCTGATGCTCTGCAGCAGCTTCACTGTGAGTTATTCTGCCTCTGCTCAGGACCTCCAGGACCAAGCTTGGCGCCTACTACACCTACATGTGAAGGCGCCGCCCCTCGCCCTGCTTCTTCAGGAGGGGACGTTAAATTAAAGCACGTGTCTGTATTGTGGAGATAAAACACTACAACCTGATTAGTTTGGTAACCCGCTGCAGCTGAAGACATCTGTGTTACGATGATCACAGGGAAGCACCTGGGCAGGTATCACTGATGACAGCTGACCTCCTGCATCCTCAGAGTGTTGGTGCCAACATGGCGTCGCACACTGCGGATCCTCTGACCGATAACACGGCTGCTGTGAGGTTACTCCAACAACAACCCATAACCAGCTCATTGTGCAGTAATGTGCTCCAAACAGAAGCCACACCCACAGCATTTAAACCAATCAGAGGAATGGCACTTTAAAGTGGGAGGAGCTAAACAGGAAGCGCTGCAGGATCATATAAAGATGGCTTATTGTAGCCTTCGTGTCATGCAGAGCTGCCCTGTGTCGGGTTGGGGAGGTGGAAATGAGCCGAACGAGTCGAACCTTTGATGAAGTCGATGCTCTTCAGCGCCCTCTCCTGCTCGCTGAAGTTAACCCTGTAACGACTCAGGCGCTTGTAACCTGGTCTCAGCGTCTCGGACGGACCCGAGGCACTCGCCGCCTTCACCCTGAGGACGGCGAGGAGGTATAAGGAGCAAAAGAAGGTTGGTTAATGCTGACGAGGTGAAGGAAGGCGTGAAGAATATTTCCCGTCACTCACTTTGTGATCATCTCTGCTGAACTCTGAAAGAGGAGGAGGAGACAAATGAGCCGAGTCACACTCGTCACCGCCGCACACAGGAAACGGGAGTCGCTCACCTGAACAAAGGCGGCCATGTTGGGCTCTTCCATGCTGCTCGCGGCGCTCTCCGCCAGCCTGCTGTTGGCTGCCATGCTGTCATCATGGCAACGCACCAGCGCCCGCGCGTGGCCCGTCTTCTCCTCTTGCTCAGAGCTGATTCGCTGCGCCATCGCCTTCGATCACAGTAAAAAGAAACACTATGAGGCGTGACCATCGTGTTCAAACAAGACGTAGTACAGAGCTTTCTGTCACAAACAGACAGCAGGCGCAGGAACATTCACCGCAGAGGCTGCAACGTGTTTGAGGACACGTGTCCTCATCCGAAGGACGTTATCCTGATTACGTCCCTCAGACGAAGACACGACAGAGCAGCAGGCGGGTCTCTGTGCGGTGACAAAACAGCGACTGCTTCTTTCTGCTTGGGACTGTAAAATCAGTTTCCTGCTCACATCGTTTACAGAGTGACGTCAGGGAACTGAAGCTTCCTGCTGAAACAGAAGCAGCGATGGAGGCAACCAAGTAAAAGAAGAAGGACTTTGTGAGGTTGCAGTCGTCTGATTGGGCCTGCAGCTTTCAAAAACAAAAACGTACTTTTATTGCTGCAAAGTCCAAACAGGAAGCTCACTCCTCATGCAGACACACTGAGGGTAACCAGGGAAAGGAGACACAGGGACACACAGCAGACACTGCCACAGGGCAGGAAGTCAGACTGAAGACAAAGCACAAGCAACACGGGACTACCAAAATAAAACAGGAAACCTACGCGCACGGCACACATTTATATTTTAAAGTCCCGACGTCACTGAGGACGAGGGCTGAACTCTGACCTTCTGTCTTTCCTCCAGGATGGAGAACATGCGGTTGAACTTCTCGCACACGCTCTGTTTCTGAATGCTGCAGTTCTCCTGAGGAGCAACGACACAGTCAGTCAGGTCTGACGCAGATAAACCACGAGGCTCTTTCATGGACTCCTGACACTTTTGAATTCATCTTCGTGCAGACTCTGCTTCATCACATGCTCAATAACTGGATCGTGATGTGTGTGCACGTGTTAACGAGCAGCTTTTGTGCAGATGTTCTGCAGCTGCAGTCTGAGGAGCTCGAAATCACAACAGCAGTCGCCTCAAGGTGCTTTATATTGTAAGGTAGACCCTGCAATAATACATAGAAACACCAACAATCATATGACCCCCTGTGAGCAGCACTTTGGCGACAGCGGGAAGGAAAAACCTTTGGAAGAAACCTCCGGCAGAACCAGCTCAGGGAGGGGCGGGGCCATCTGCTGAATTGACAAAGTGAAGAGATGAGCAAAGGTGTCATGAAACGATCTGAAACACGTCCCTGTCACGACCTGCGGGATCAGCAAGGAGCTGGTCATTATGTTCGCTCTCTTTCTCTCTCTCCTGTTTTGCTGGGGCGGACATCATGGTGGGTTCACGCCCTCGGCCCACGCCTCCCTGTATTGGAAACACCTGGACCTCGTCAGGACCAGCCGGTATTGAAGAGGGGAGAGGTCTGCTGTTTGGCGCTGGATCGTTGTTAAACTCCCGTCAGTAACAAGTTCAAGCCAAAGTTTCTCGTGCCCGTGTGCAGAATATTAACGTGCATTTGTTTGTATCGAGATTCCTCGGACCATCCCGTTCTTCCAGGAGCAGTGTGTGGAAGGAGCGGCTGGTCACAAAGCTGGGAGAGAGGGAGGAGCGTGTGTGTGATCCTCTTTCCCCAGATTCCTGGAGGTCTGCCCCCCTCACGTCTTGTATATAGCACTATCCCCGCACAGCCTGTAAATACACTCGGTGAAGAGATTGTAAACAAACTTTCATTGTTAACTGGCTACTCAGCAGTGGTGTGTCCAGCGGGGTGGCCTGGGGGGGGCACAGGTCACCTCCTCAACCAGACTGGCCACCCAGGTTCCACCCCGAAGCTAAAACAATAAAATTCAATCAAATAGCCAATGTACGATTATGTTTTCACCGTGAAGCTCAGATGTCCGAGTGTAAGTGAATGCAGCATTGGCTGCTGCACTATGAGCATCAGGTTAGCAAAGGAAGGAGAGGAAAGAGACACCGCGGAAATAAAATTTTCAGCGAAAGAAAATGAGGAGAAAATAAATGTAAGTAATATTAAGTTTGTTGAGTTTAGTAAACTTAAATTAGAATCCCAAGGAAAAAAGAACACTTGAAGAATTATTGCAGCCGTCGCATATTTGAGACAGTCGGCTGCTGGGGGAGCTAGCATAAGAGTTATGAGTTATAAGATACAATCCAAGTCGTAGCATTGCTGTGTGGAGCTGCAGGTTTGGTTGCAGGTTAACACTGGCAGCGTCACCGTGCCAGCTGACTGTATCATCAGCCAGTGTTCTGTATACATCAATATTACCAAAGTTTACCATGAGGCAGCACTTACACTGCACCGTGCGGTCCAGCTAATTTCTCTCATTACTGATCCTATCTGCCAGCTCCGTGTTATGAATAGAGTGAATCACCCCTGTGCCATGTTCAGTGCAGGGATGTGCATTTCTGGTCCTCCCGGTTCCAGATGTTTCCAGACTTCAGCACAGCTGATTTAAAGGATCATTTACAGACATGTAGGTGTTTGGGGATTGTTTGATTTGAACTGGCTCTGTTGGTATAGGAAACATCTAAAACGTGCAGGATAGGGTCCACGAGGGCCGGAAGTTGACATCCCTGACTTCTAGTCAAGGTCATCAGGAAAGTTGTTGTTTGTAACACAAGTTTTTGCTTTATTACTTCAGGGCCAACCAGTAGAGATAAAAGAACAGGAAGAATGAAAAGATTTCTTCCTTAAGAAGGCTAAAATACACCCAGAAGCAGAGAACAATGTCCGCAGTCATCATTGTCACCTGTGAGTTCTACAAATGAAGGTGTGTGAGAGAACGAACAAGGAAAATGCAAGGAGGGGATGTTCAACCGATCCATAGGGGACAAATCCTAATATGTGTATTGTGGTACGTAACTGGAAAGTAAAACAAAATCCTGTTTTAAATAACATGTTTTTTTATTTAATGAAATGTAATCTTTTGATATTATCCCAGCACCTGTTCATGATCCACCAGATAACTAGGATGCGGTGCCCTTTGAAACATCATGTACGACCCCGGGCCATCCACATGGTATTGAACCTCCAGTCTTACTTATAGACTAATATTGACAGCCTTTAAAATCTCATTCTAATAAGAGTTATTAGGGTTATAGGGTTATTGAATTAACAGTTGATAGACTTTTTTTAACACTATCTGTGCCCCTACCTGCCCCCCACAGAAACACGCCACTGCTACTCCTGCGTGCAGATGCTGAAAGGCAAACCGTGACCGTCTCATAGCTCAGACTGTTTCTAACACTGTGAACTGAGCTGCCAATCACAAGACTTCTACAATGAATGTTATTGTTGTTTATTGGTTATCGCTGACATCACACACCTCTATGTGTCTGCAGGTCTCCTCCAGCTCATTGATCACAGTCTGGACTTTGTCGCTGAACGCCCTCAGAGAGGCGACGCCTTCGCGCAGCTGGTCCTGGAGAACAGAAGGAAGTGACTGCATGAGGTGGTAACAGCTGCAGGTCATTCAGCAGAAAACAGCTGTGAGAGCTGAGCAACAGTGTGAGCCGGACACACAAACACAGAGGTCATTTATTTAAGCGCCTAATAACAATAATAACGCAGGCAGCAGGTCACTGCAGTACCTTCTGCTGCTGGTAGATGGCGCTCAGAGGAGCCACCTCGCAGGACTGATGGGCCCCGAAGACTTTGCAGAGCGAGCAGGTGGGAACCTGACAGGTGAGGCAGTAGATGTTCACCTTTTCTCCCTCGTGGTCGGAGCATGTTGAATGAGCAGGAGGTGGAGGTGAAGGCGGAGGGAGGGGCCTGGAGGTGAACACACAGGAAGTGGTTAAACACCGCGTCTCTGCTTTAATCACCTGTCGTCAGACATCACCTGGCTGTGACTCAACCTGGTGCTGTTGATTTCCTCTTTGTAGATGTCGATGATGTTCTCCACCAGCAGGTTTCGCTGAAGGCCGTAGACGCCGTGGCGGTCCAGCAGCACTTCTTGTCTGCAGGACGGACAGCGGAAACGCCCGCTGTTCACCGACATGGTGGTCCGAGCGTGGAACAGAGACGGCTGCACACAGGAAGCAAGAAACCAAAATGCCAGCTTAACCCCGAACGCCATCGTGACGCACAAACCGGGCGGCAAACAGCGGCCGAGCCTCCCATCACACAACATCTGTTACTGGAGCATCGAAGACACACAACATCAAAGTGACAGAAATGATCCTCGCTACGTGATCTTTGTGTATCTGCTGTACTGTTAGCTGTGCTTGGTCACCTCCAGTTTTACTTTGGCGGTCTGTCTTATTGTGGTTTTACTTCCTGTTGTTGTTGCCAGCCCCGGCTTACCTGTGCCCACCTGTGTCCTTCCTCACTGCTTTACTGTGATCACAGCTCCACGTCTGCACTCCCTTACAGGACGGACCGAGCTTCCTTCTACTCTATTTCTGTTCAGCCTTTACTAATGATACAAACAAAGCCGTTGTCCGGATTTCAGCAACCTTCAGTTTCATTCCCAGCTCACAGCTCACAGCTCACAGCTCACAGCTCACAGCTGGAGTCGGTGCTCGATTGTTTTGTGCTGGATTCTGAGCTGAAGGTTTCATCTCTCTCCAAGCAAAGTTGACACAACCAAGCAAAAGAAGATCCAAACTACGCTTCGCAGTTCACTTTCTCATGAATTGCCTCTTAGCTTTTCTGTTTTGCTTCCACCACACTAAAATCACACGTAATGCACAGCTCTGTGTCTCAGTGAACGGCACGAACAGCTTCCCATCTACAGATCTGTTTCTGCATTTTCACTGGCTTGTTACCCACCAGTCTACCGTTATGTGCTGACTTCCAACAAGGAAGTCTCCTTTCTGCGGTTCAAGACTGAAGAGATGTAAACTTTTTAAAATGATGACGAGGAGCAAAACTCTCAGCTGTGTCTGTAATCAAACCTCCGTAACGTTGCTCTGCTTCACGTCAGCAGCATCAGGTCATGTTCACATGTTGATTAATGGTTTTCTTTCGTTTTTGATCTACTGCAGAATATTTGTATAAATCCCAGACCAGGAAAACCTCCTCCATGTTTTTCTGTTTCATCCTCAGCTACTTTGACACAAAGGCCTCTGCTGTGATGCTCACACCTGTGACAAAGTCTCACAAGTGTCAGCTTCCTTTTTATAGATGCAAAAATATGGAAATGTGCTGATGCGTGATCAGAATTATAATATTTCTGACTGTCTGAGGCAAAATTCCCCCGATTCCAATCGAATCGATTCTAGAAATCAGTGACGACACCCAGCCCTGAGATTTAGCTCCACCTCCTCCTATCCCAGCAACTTCCTCTGTAACATAACCTTCTGCCTGTCCTCCATAAACCTTCGCTCTGCTCCTCCTTTACCATCACAGCGTTTGTTCCCCCCTCCCCTCCTCTGTCTTCAGGCTGGAGCACCGGAGGAGGTCAACATTAGCACGGCTCTGATTTACGTGAAAATGTTCGCAGATGTGAGGCAGCAGCAGGTTTCATTACCATGTTGCATATTTGGAGTCATATCTTCATACACAGACAGTGAAATAAGAAAAATGGCAGCAGTGTAGATGTTGATGCTCCTGGATGTGCGAGTGGAGGAACTGCTGGGGGAGAAGGCTCTGCAGGGCACACGCTGTGTTTACAATACACCTTCTCTGTAATGTCCAGCAGAGGGCAGCTGCGGTCTGTGACAAGACGGACGCCCTGTATTTGTAAAGCGCTTTACTCGTCCCTGAGGACCCAAAGTGCTTTACACATCCACCCACACACACACTGGTGATGGCAGCTACGTTGTAGCCACAGCCACCCTGGGGCGCACTGACAGAGGCGAGGCTGCCGGACACTGGCGCCACCGGGCCCTCTGACCACCACCAG